GCCTGCGGCTGCTCCGGTCTCCGCTCGCGGGGCGGACCGGGGCTGCGAAGGGCTCGGGGCCCGCTCTGGACCCCAGTCGGGGACTGGGACGAGGGGACCGCGGCGCGTGTGCGGGCGCCGCTGGGCTCCGCGGCAGGCGGGGGGCGGGCGACGGCGCGAGCCCGGGCTTGGGGTCCGGGGACCCGCTGCTTTCCCGAATTCCGGGGCCCGAGGTCTGGGTGCCGGGGACCCGCGCTTTGGGGTGCCGGGGCCCGCTCCGCAGAGGCGCGCTTTGCGTTGGCACGAGGGTAGTTGGTTCTGGTAAAGAGTGAGGACTTCTAGAATAGATTCATTTTGTGGATACCTGCTCGTTTAGCGATGCTTAGGCGTAGTTCGTGAAGCATAAAGTAATGATTGGAGAAGTAAAATTTTTGTCTTTCACTTTGCAAATTGTCCTGAGACCTTAAGAACGACGTTATGGTATAACACACTGGTCTTTACCTTCAAAAAAACCCGATTTATGTTACTTTAAGCCAGGTGGTCAAAAGGAAAAGTGGGAATGTCGAACAGACTTACCTGGGTGAGTTTTTGTCGCTGCTCAGTGAGCTAACCAACTCAACTAAATATCCTAGTCTAGAATTGTTTTTTGAAATAATATTTAGACTTCTAAGGTCTAGGACAGTTTGCCTCAGTAATCTCTACTATTCGTAATTGATAACCATTTTTCCTCGCACTGGCAGAAAACTATAAACATTTGAACACTTACTGGTTGGTTTTGGGTGTGTTCAATTAAAAAACCTAATATCAGGATGATGCATTTTTGTAATGGACAAATTATTAAGATTTCCATTGTATGACAATTAGAAGCCATTGTGACTCAAAAGGACTGAGGCATTCATAAATTGTGAATGAAGATGGAAACAATGATAAGGCTTATTCAGTGATTGGATACAGTCCTGTAGCTTTTTGGCTGACACATTTTTTATTGTTTATATTTTGTTTGGCATCTGAGTATGATTAAGTTAGATATGGCTATTTTAAGCAAGTAAACGTGCACTTTAATTTAACAAAACTGGAAAAATAAGTTTCTGAGTTATTTGTATTTTGAAAGCTATGAATGATAATAGTCAATGAATGTGATGAAACTTTCAGGTCTAATGAATTGCCTTTGGTTGTAGAAGTTACCTTTACTATTACCATCAGCAGGATTTTTTTTTTTTTTTTCCTTTCTGGTAAACTCCATCCATTTACATTGTTTTTATGTTAGGATCAAATACAACAAGTTAAAGTAGGCTTTTCATTTAGAAGCACTTCTTCACATGTAAGGTACTGAGGTTTTTTTTTTTTTTTTTTTTTCTGAAATTGTATTTCCAGCTTTGGCTTTTGGGAAACACTGATAGCAATTACATTGCATTTCTAGTCGCTCCTAAGTGTGTATTAAAACATCACTAGTTTTGTCTTAAATTTGTGTAGGTTAAAAATAATATTACAGCATCCTGACATGGAATGTTCGGGGCAGGCACAGTATAATCACTCAGTTACTGCAGTAATATTCAGGGATGCGCACTTCCTCTTAATTCAAGATGACTCATTTTCAACTATTTTAATACTATAAATATAGGTTGATATATTAAAACTGTTTTGGGGAATTAAGGCCTATACCAGAAGAAGAATTTTAGCTTTAGAAATCTCACTTACCCACCTTCATAGGTGACTTTATAGGTAAGTAAGGTACAGCGAAAGGGAGGACACGTTAACGCCGTTAGTTACTTCTGTATTCTGTATCAGATGAGTATGTTAGTTTTGTATTACAAGTGCCTCCAGGCTGTAGGAGGACATGCTTTAAGACACGTAAATACAAAATAAAGTAACATTTTTAATTTTTTGAAAACTTTAAAAAGCATCTCAGTTTCTGCAATAAGATACTTCAATTTTAAAAAGAAATTTAATATAAAAGAAGCTATCAATAAAGTTGATTTTTAGCAAAATAATATGTTGTACTGTCAGTACATCAATATACCAGCATTTTTACTTGAGAATATATCAGATGTAAAAGGAAAGTGAGACCTGTCAGACGCAATTTACTGTTTGGTTTTTTGTAATATAACGTAAGCCCTTAATAGTACAACTTTATATTGGTATGATGACATTGAACTATTTTGTTATTCAAGTTCTACAGGAACATTTATTTTCATGGCTTTTTGTTGTATAGTGATGATACTCCAAGAACACCTCGTATTTACTCTCCCACACCTATAGTGGTCTAATTTCCCATCCCTTGCAAGGAAACTATTGTCTTCATGAATAAAAATTAATATGTCTAGTTAAATTAGGCTGTTTCCTTTTATATTTGACATTTGTAACTTGGCTAATATCAGCTCAGCTCAACTGAAAGAATTTTTTTAAGATAAAAGATGACTGAATGTTAGTGTATTGTAGTTAAAATTTTTAAAGGGCAAGCTTGCATATTACCTTAATATAGAGCTTTTAGATCTTAAATAATTTTGAAAATTATTTTTATATTTGTTTAGCACTAATCCATTGGAACATTTGAATACATGAATACTTTCCTTTTTCCCTTTTGGTTTAGATGAGGGTGGTTACTGAGCTGAATGTTCATGTGCTGCACGATCATTCACAATATATGGCTGCTCAGCATTAGAAAACAATCGTACTTGGGAGATGACAGCTGAATATGTCAATGTAAAAATGTTTGTGACATACAGCCAATCTCAGCTTTTAATCATTTTTTGGGGGGGTATTTCCCCTTATCAAATATTCTTTAAAGGAATACACATACTAGTAAAGCCCTAAAAGATACTAACAAGGCCAATTGTGGCCTGAAAAAGTTTATTTCGAGTTACCTATAAAGAAAACTGTATTTAAAAAGAATATTTGGCCTCATTGAGCAAATTCAAGTGATCCTTGAGAAACAATTTTTTGTGGGCATTGGGTAAGAGTTTCCAAATTTAACCTTCAGTTTTTCCTTCTGGGTGCTTAAAATAATTCATTACAGTTTTGAGATTTGTGACATGGTAGATGATGTTTTTGATGCAATATTGAAACTCAAACATTTAATCAAACTGTTTGACTTTTTAATAAGAATGAAATGTCACTGAACATAGTATTTAAGGACAAAAGTACTTAAGTATTATTGAATTGCTTAATATTTGTTGAAATAATACTGCCTTTTCCAAAGCATGGCAAGGGTGCAGTGAGTGAAACAAAGCTCCCCATGTCCGTTGTACATTGTGAAGGTTTTGGTTCATGAGTTCTTCGATGCATAGTTTTTAGTTGTGTTAATAAGTCACAGTAGAAGTCATGTCATAGGAAGCAAGTTTGTGTAGCACATTTTAAGCCCACATTTCCCTAAACAGGCCTTTCTTTTGCATGTATTTTGAAGGAGAATAAGCAAAGTTTTTGTAGTTACAGTGAATGCTGAAAGCATGCCATCAGAGGCTGTATGTAGATAGGGAGGTCTTATCATGGGCTGTGGTTGCTGCGAGCAGGGCTGCCTTCCCACACAAAGAACAGATTGTGGTTTAACTCTTTCCATGGCCTAGTTTAATGTGCTCACATAGTAACCGAATTGTTCAAATCTCTGCTGGAAACTACTGATCGGTTTAATGATTTCCTCTATGGCATTTGGTTATGCCTCATGCTGTGATGTAATCATCCGCATTCTGTATTGTTATAAAATTTTTATTCGTACTTACGCTGCTGTAGAACATTTTAGGGTAGTATGTTAGAGCACTCGATAGCTGCAGTATTGATTGGATGGGCCGTACACCTCTGCGGGGTCAAAACTGCAAACTCGTGGCAGGTTGCAGCCTTAGCATTGAAACTTTTGAATTTCATCTTTAAAATACACTCACAGCTGTGTGGAATTTTTGGTCACCTTCTTTGTGGCAGTGTTAGGACTTCACTTTCATGGTCTTTGCCTAATGGAATTGTTCAGTCGACGGTTAGAGTTCCCTCCGTGCAGTTCAGGGTGAGCCGTAGGAGGGCCCACATTCCTACCTGGGGTCTAAGCAGCTGGAGAAAGTTACTTTGTTGCTGGGATGGAAGTACAGTGAGTGTGATCAGAAAAATGGGTGTGCTTCAGCCCTTGGGCCACTGCGCACAAGTGCGTGTACATGGGACGCCTGGGCCTAAGCTTTTAGGATGAGTTTCACCTACATCAGGAAGTACCAATGTGCTGGCTCCATTTGGAAGTAACTTTAAGTACCTTCGGGTGGAATGATCCTCCATTCCTCTTACCGCTCTCTCCCTTAAAAATAGTCTTTGATGAAAGGGGCAGAAAAAATGCAGGACCCTAAAAGTAAACTACTTAATTCAAATGGTGGGTGCTGTGTGAATGTTCACTTGCAGACAAATACCTCCAGTTGGGTCAGAGAATCCATCTATGTGGCAAGGGAGCTGTGTGGATTCCACAAAAGCAGTAACTGAGCGGCAGGCAGTGCGCTCCGGTGTCACCCTGCTGTAGCGCGCGGAGACACAAAGAATGCAAAGTTGGTGCCAAGTTGCCATTTTTCATTGTTCATCTCAGATTGATTTTTAAGGGATTTAGAGTAATTGTCATCCTCATGTGAGCCATTAACAGATTAAGAGACTGGATCGTGCTGCATATTCTATAGGAAATCTACAGGAAGGACATTCATGTAGTTTCTGTTTTCAACTTTAAAACTTTGGTTTAAAAACTCAAGAGTGTGAATCTGTGTGTGTGTGTGTGTGTGTGTGTGTGTGTGTGTGAGAGAGAGAGAGAGAGAGAGAGTATGTGTGTGTGTGTGTGCATGTGTGTGCGCGCCCTGGTGTTCGGGGTGTGGGGAGAAAATGCACTGCTCAAAGTATGGAAACTGAGTGCAGAAGCCGCTGCTCCGCCCGGCTGTGTCCTTTGCCCACTCGCCTCCCTGTGTACCGGTTTCTCTAGTTACCACTTTTGGAATGGTGCTGTTTCAGTGCTGGAATGTTGGACGTTTGATAAGAAAATGGATCAAGTTTAATGGCGCATGCTCTTTGTGCCACCAGCAGCCTCTTGCTGAGAGCATGCTCCAAAAGCGGGAACTGTGTGGCATTACACTGAGCATCTATATGCTTTGTGTTGCTGTGCCACAGCGAGGAGAAATGAACTGTGGCATCGCTCCTGCCTCCTGAACAGCTCTGCTCCCGACTAGCAAAAACAAAACAAAACAAAACAAACCCCACTGTGTTCTTTGTAAAATGGTACTGTGCAGTGTTAGTTGGTCAATCAAATATTTAAATATTAAATTAGGTGCCAAGCACCTTGGTTGCATATGTTTTAAAGAAGGCAGAAGGCATAGATAGTATTGGGGTAGGAATGAGGGGGAGGGGGCCAGGGTGAGAATGCAAATAAAACCTTATTTTCTTTGTAGGAGGGAGAAGCAACTTGTGCATTTTGCTTAAGAGGGGGCAGCTTGGCATACTTTATTTTCTTCTTGTCCTGCTATTTTGGGCTTTTTGAATAAGAAAACAGTGCTATTTTCAAGCATAACTTTTTATGCCAAATTGGGACTGGATTGTGGTCTAATTTTTGAGCATTTAAAATTAAACCGACTGTGTGCCTCTTGTTCTCCCACCCGCCTTCCGCAGGATGAATTTCACCCGTTCATCGAGGCGCTTCTTCCACACGTCCGCGCAATTGCCTATACTTGGTTCAACCTGCAGGCTCGAAAACGCAAGTACTTTAAGAAGCACGAGAAGCGAATGTCCAAGGATGAAGAGAGAGCAGTCAAAGACGAGCTGCTTAGCGAAAAGCCCGAAATCAAACAGAAGTGGGCATCCAGGCTCCTGGCCAAACTGCGCAAAGATATCCGCCAGGAGTACCGGGAGGACTTTGTGCTCACCGTGACTGGCAAAAAGCACCCGTGCTGCGTCTTATCCAACCCTGACCAGAAGGGTAAGATTAGGAGGATCGACTGCCTGCGGCAGGCAGACAAAGTCTGGCGTCTGGATCTAGTCATGGTGATCCTGTTCAAAGGCATCCCTTTGGAGAGTACGGACGGCGAGCGGCTCATGAAGTCCCCACATTGCACAAACCCAGCACTTTGTGTGCAGCCGCACCACATCACAGTGTCAGTTAAGGAGCTTGACTTGTTTTTGGCATACTACGTGCAGGAGCAAGGTAGGAGCAGAGTGTTCTTTCCTCTAGTGTCCACAGACCTCCGCAGAGTGCAGAGTATCCGGCGTGGGCCAGCGGCTCTCGAGGCCCCCAGTCTCCTGTGTCCTCTCGGTACAGTGAGCAGTGTGCCCGCGCCCGCCCACGTGCCCACTGCCGTGTGTGACTGTGGGAGCAGACGCTGGGCCCTTGCACCTAGGTAGGCGGCAGGCGTAGGCAGAGGCTGCGAAGGCCTGAGTTTTCTCCCAGGAGCAGTCAGAGTGGCCTGGGGATGCAGCTCATTACACTGTGCTTTCTGTGCCAGGCTGCATTTCTTATACGAAGTCATCTTTCCCTGACTTGAACGTACACTGTTATGAATAGTCAGACCTTAATAATTGCTGTCCGAGCCTCTTAACTAATGAGGTAGATGAAGTTGGTGTAGAGTCCAGTGCTGTTGCCTGAAAATAGAACTAGTGTGTGCTGTTACGAAGTGTGTACGGTAGCCACTATCAAAACGTGGATCTGACAGAGACCGTAACTTGCTTAATGTAAATACCTTAACACCTACTTTTGATTGTGGAATATTCACTGTAGGCTCATTGGAATATAGTCGTTGTTTAAGTAATTTTTAATATTTACCCAGAATGACTTGGGAACGTTTTGTATTGTTTACTTGACTATAAATTCATAAAACTTCCAAGGAGGAAATTTGTAAGCTTTCCTTACAAAACATTACAGAACAAAAACAGAAAGTAGACTGGTTACACTGGTTTAAAGTAAATCTCAAGAAGAATGCAGCAACCACATAGCATACCTGTGTTTTAAAATACTTGACAAAGAGAGTGGTGTAACTGTTGCCTGAACGGTTCAAAATAGGCAATGTTGTTGCTGTTTTTTGAGTCAACAAAATATATTTCTTTATTTCTATTTTTCTTACTATGTTTTGCTTAAGTAGGTGAGAATTTTTTTCCTTCAAATCATTATTTCAAGAAATAGATGACTTTGCATTGACAATAGTCCATGGCAAAATGTTACTTTATAAAAACAGCATTCCCAAGGTGGCCTGAAGTTTGAACTTCCACAGAGGGTGGATCATTTCTGAACGTGGCCTGGCAGGAGGAAAAGCCGGCCTACAGATAGCCAGGTGGCAGGCAGTTATTTGGTGCTCCTTGTGTGAGCGTGGGATTTAATAAATTGTTACATACTCCATTGTTACCCAGAAGAGTAACATGTACTCTTTTGACTTTGAAATACAGATGCTTAGTCTGTGGTTTGTGTGTTGATATTTCCATCATGCAATTTTAGAGATATGCTTGAGGGTCCTTTTAACATTTTTAGTCTGATTTTAAATAACAGTGTTGGCCGTTACTCATTTGGAAATACTGTATCTCCTTCAAAAATGAAGCATTGCACTTACTATTTTCATGTATCTAAGAATTAAAGTCCAAGTAATAATAGGGAAAATGTATTTTCATCCTGCCTGTCCTAAAATAAAAAGCTCATTAACACATGACACTTAATTTGATTGACAGCTGTCTAGGAGGTGACATTTTTAAGGTGGGCTGTATATATGTGTTAGATTGACTATAAATGTGTCATAACTACATTGAGAAAGTCGAGGTGGGAAGTAAAGTTTTAAAAAGTGGGTCATGTAACTTCTTAGTGTAAGGAGAAAGGTTGTGACTGTCGCACTGCTGTGCTCCTTGGAGCTTGCCTGGAGGAGGGTCCTGCAGGCGTGTACCTGCACACACACACCTTTGAGGCTGGCAGCCGGCTCTTAGAGTTGATGAGCTGGCATTAGAGAACGTGTCCTTTGGATTTGTGAAGGTAGATTAAAAAAAAATGCATCCAGGCCTTCTGCATTTGCACTGTGGGGTTGTGATGATCATAAAGTTTTAAGCAACTCGCTGTGGCCGTGTTTTAAGGTAAAACATTGATTTTGTTCTTTCAGCAACCTCTGTTGTGTGACCCTTTCAACTGTTTTAAGCTGTACGTCCAATAATTGTGTCTTCTGCTACCTGACTGTGTACCATCTGAATGAGGTTTCACCAGATGTGAAATCTAAGGGCCCTTTCTTCAAAACATTCACATCAGGCTGCTTTTGTGTTGCCCTTTTTTTCAAAACATATCTTTTTCTTTGTCAATTGTAGTTTAATTACATCATTTTTCAGTGCCATTGATTAAAGAAGGCAGGCTTTTAAAAGACAGTAGTCAATCAGAGAACTGCATTTCTTACATCGTAACTTTTTCTTTATCTAAGTACATAAAAACCTACTTAAATCTGCTTTATATGTTAGACAAAAAAATAAGGGAAAAACATGAAAGAAAAATCAGAAAGGGAAAATGTGGCGGTTGTAATAGAATGAGCAGCCCAGTGGCTTTCCCCCTTTTCCTTTCTCTCTCGCCACTTCTAAACGATTAGGAGAAAAACATGAGAAAGAACAGAGAGGATGCCAAAGATGGTTGCCACTGGCACCAGGATTGGCATCAGACCCTCTTTGTTTAGCTCAGGATGCCTGTGATTTGTTAGTTGGCATCCGCATTGCAGTGTGGAGTGATGTTACAATATATTGACAATTTCCAGATCTAGAAATGTCAATAGTCCTCTTAGTTATTTATACAAGATCACGTGCTGCATCTCTTCTGGAGGCTGCGGTAAAGACCTACGTATAATAAAGTTCCATTGTTGACCAACTTCACAGGCGTTTCTGCCCCCTTTTCTCTTCTGGTTCAGTTTTTCTTCTCCATGCCCAGCAGTCTCATCTTTTCTGAAAGAGTTACGAGAGCTTTGACATAAGATAGAGTGCTACATCTGCACCTGATAGAGTTTGGGGAATATTTATACATTTTAAAATCATTTTTGATTCAGAGTTTATTAGAGTTACGCAGTCCTAGGCAGTGTTTCCTTAAAGCTCAGGGTCTTTGTTACCCAGCTTCTGTGCACAGAGTCTGGTTGGCCACAGTTCAGTCCATTTTGCAGTTTCTGCACATCAGTAAAGGGATATATTCAATATAATTGTTTATTAAGGTATATGCCTTCCACTTTATCTGAAGCGAACACATCATTTGGGAGTAACTGTGTTTGAATCCATAAAGTCATTTGATGTTATTGATTCAGAGGGCTGCGCTTCGGCTGTTCCGTTGCTACAAGAACCGCCATTTTGTTTGTGAAGTGCCAGGCGAAGGGGAAAAAAAAAGGCAGACACTGTGTTTGATGCCAATAATGGTTGCCAGTGGCACCGAGGTTGGCATCAGACCCTCTTTGTCTAGTTGCTGAATGCCTTTGATTCGTTGGTTGGCATCCGCATTGCAGTGGGCACACTGGAAAGTTTTTGACAATCCCTGAATGAAAGCTGCTTGCATGTTTGCTGCAGCAAACCTTAGCTCATATAAAATCTCTCCCTTTTTTTTAGTGTTTTTTTTTTTTTTTTTTTTTAAGATTGTGACAGATTAAAGGAAAAATAGCTGTAAGGTGGTCTCCATTTTCCCAGAGAGAGTAAAGATGGCCAGTGATTCTTGGGCAGGTGGTACCTAGTCCCCATATTGTCTTTGTTATTGCATTCAGGAAAGCAAAGCAAAACAAAACAAAAACCAAGCACACCTTGCGCAGCGCACCTTCCCGGGCAGCAGCGTTCTGTGGGACGCAGGGTGCTCGGTGACAGGTGTGTGGCGTGTGCCAAGTGCGGCCATGTGTTGCCTGATGCGTCCACTATGACTGTTACTTTCAGTTACATCACTGCTTATTTCTTATGCAAGTTTCCGTCCCCTCAGTTGCCACACTTCCGAGTTCTGTAGTAACGGTTGTGAAGAGCTTGTCTTTCCTCACTAGGTAGTAATGCGTAAAAGCAGAGAGGTGAAAGAACAAAATTAACGAGGACGCCATCGTGTTAAGGTCTGATATAAATCGTTCATTCCTAACTTTCTCAGTTCTGCCTGGAAACTTTGCCAGAGTCTCAGTGACCAGTTCTGCACACCAGGAAACAGTGAAAAAACTGAGATGATTTTGGTTGAAGTTTCCTAGGTAGTTAGCGTTAATATTGCTTTCTGGTTAACCACCATTATCTCGTTAATTAATAAGAAGGATTAGCAGCCGTACCCAGAGGGACTGCACTGAAGGAAATCTGGCCTATGGGAGGCCTTGAGCTGCCAGACTGTGTCCCGTCTGGAGAGCAGGGTGGGGGTGGGGCGGCGTGGGGTGGGGTGGGGTGGGCCTTCCCCAGGCGAGGAGGAGTTCTGGACAAAGGGATCCCCAGCAGTGCACCCCAAAAGTGTAAAGATCTCAGGAGATAGTAGCTCTTGTTATGAAATGAACAGAGCAGAGTTTAAACCAAGTTAGCCTACCAGGTTTTTGGACTGTACTTTGTACTCTTATTAAACATGTTTTGGAGCCCTACACAGAGTTCAGTAACCTTGTTGCTATCATAAACAACTAGTTTTCTTTAGCCTTGAGCTCTTAACACTGTGACCTCTGGTTGGGTGGCAAAGTTGGTTGTTTTATTGTTAAATGTTACAATAATTGAAGTATATTTTGAAGTTGTGAAAAGTGTAACTTGTTTACAGGGAAAGTTATAATCATTATTATGGTTTTTGAAACAGAACCCTTCCTGGTTGTCACATGTCGTTAGTGAGGAAGCAAATGCTAAGAATTATTTTCTTCCTTCAGTTGCTGGGTTTCAGAATCCTTTGGGTAACAATTATTTCTTCTTCTTTTTGATCAGTTATTTCTTTATGAAAAGCTTAAGTAGATAATTGCTTGCAAGTTGACAGCACATTTTAATAAATTTCACTTCATTTGCAGGTATTTCCCATTATAGAGGAAATACGCTTTCATGACTTGTTAGAGGCTGCGCTGCGGGATAATTTGGTGTGTTTGCATTGTGAAATGCTCAGAGGGCATGCGGTTGGTATGCAGAAGAGAGGCTGTGCACCCCCGTTTCATCAGGGACACCCTGTTAGGTTTCCATCCAGCACCCTGTCCTTGCCCGAACTCGTGAACTAGTGCACAGTGTTTGTGTTCTTAGGCA